GAGAGAGAGAGAGAGAGAGAGAGAGAGAGAGAGAGAGAGAGAGAGAGAGAGAGAGAGAGAGAGAGAGAGAGAGAGAGAGAATCACCACATGAGAATTAAAGCAAAGAGACACCAATGTAATGATATCCATTATGCACTGCTTCAACAGTGAATCCATACATTCAACTCTACTATCCCGTGCGAGCTTCAATTGCCCTGCCAGCAACATCATCAGGGAGGAGGCAATCTGTTACGGACTCCGCCAGGGCTCGATCTCTGGTCTATCTTTTTGCTGTTTCAGCTGCATCCCGTTTTCGGCCTGGCACCCTTTTTCCAAACCCCTCCTTTGGTACCGTAGGATTTTGGACAACTGGCGCCATGCTGCAATTCGGGCGCCACTTTCAAATACCGCATTTTTCAGTTCTGCCCTCGGGGATCCTTTGCAGAAATGCCCCTGGTACCGTACGTGTCACTGGTACTTATACCGGCTCCCCGTACGGTACGGGGACCAGTCTCGCACCAGTTTTCAGCTGTTGTCTCGTACTCGGTGTGACTTGCTCCTGTTTCGGCATTCGGAATCCAAGACTTTTGACTTTGTGTCTTTGCCACTGTGTCTGCGTCCGACCCTCGGTCGTGTTGAGTGAGCGAGTGTGTGTGTGTGCTCTCACTCTCTCCCTCTCTCCCTCCTCCCCCTCGGCTCTTCCTGTTTTCCCTCAGCCTTGCACTCGGCACACAATCCACCAACCCATGCACCACAGATCAGAGATCGGCGAAGGAGAAGCCTATCCTGAAAACCTGGCCTCCTTATATAGCAACCTATACCACTCACGGCGAATCACAGCTTAAGATGCACCAAGCACCTACATTGTGCTCTCGTTGCTTGTACCATTGCGATAATGCCGATAAGTGAAGGATGGGCAGAGATGTTGCCCCGACTACACGGCATGAAATTTCATTCCTGTACTACGCACACTCTTATGCATCCCGGAAACGGTTGTGAAATTGAAAACTGCAAGAGATCAGAATCTCAGACCAATGTGCCGAGCTACCTAATATATGCCCCCTGGGACCACAGTCTGTGAAATTCCAGCGCCGCGGCCACCGGCTACCTACTCGTCGTGCTACTTAGCAGATGTGCCGAACCTCGTACCCACGAGGAGCCAACCCAAGGTTTCCGAATGTAGCGTGACGGGGCGCAAAATGGCAGAGAATGGCACCCCTGTCCTGTCTGGAATCCCAACCCCTGACCATTCTCCTATTGACCCATCCGCCACCTAATTATAATGCACCTGACAGCCAATGACAGGACAGCAAATCAAAGGAAGCAGGGGCCAAGTCCCACTTACACTGATATTCCTAATCTACCGTCAGAAATTAAGAATTCGGGTAAGTGGGCCTTGGCCTCAGGTTACCCAGAAAAGTAAAAAAACTTGACCAAATTAGGGTAAGGGGGCCTTGGCCCCAGGTTACCCAAGAAAACTGCAAAAACTTGGCTACTGGGGTCTTTTACTGACCCTGGCATGGTCAACCTGGGGAGAGTCCCGATGTACTCACAAGGGCTTTTCTCCTTTACATGGCAATTTGAAAAAAAAAAAAAAAAAAAAGACTTCTCAGGGGTAGCGCTTAAGGAGGTGATAAGATCAGCCTCCTGAAGTGGCTCACTGGTCGAGGGCTCCATCTATTGGGGGGGGGCTGCGCCTGCCGGAAATCAGGTCCAGCATCTCTCATTCTACAAGATTTAACAATGACTGTTGGCTGTGGGACAACTCAGATACAGTGGCAGATTGTCTGTCCTTCCTCTTCCCTGACGCCACTAGAGGAGTGGCGAGAGCATTTGTACTGGACTTGTACTGGCAGGGCTTTGTGAGCCCTCTGTAACTCCTGATTACAGGAAACAAACAGGTCGGTGGAGGCCGCTCTTGTAGACGGCCGTCACAGAGCACAAGCTTGGGCTTTACCTCCTCGGCCCTTGTACCAAGGAGACGGTAGCCACCGTTCATGTCTGCTACCATGTAGCCCCTGTCGTCTGATGTCGACTTGGACGGCTTCTGGCCTTATGTTAGCCTCCTGGACCAGGGCTCAGCTCACGGGACCCAGTGTCTCTCCCAAGTTCTTGATGTTGGGCCGGGACCCACTCATCTCTTGCGGTGCAGCTGCTGCCTGTCTGTCTTGATTGGCTTGTCGTTGGTTGATTCGGCTGGCCAGCTGCTGAAGGGGTGAGAGTGGAGGCGAGCCCTAGGAGGGGACGTAGGGTGGTGGAGGAGTGAGCGGGGAGAGCCCGGAGGTAGGGGAGGGGAAAGGGGGTGGGAGAGGGAAGAGATAAGGGGAAGGGGGATGGGGATGTGTGGGAAGAGGGGCAGGGTGCTGGTCCGGGTGGCCAACTGCTGAAGGGCTGAGACTGCAGGCAAGCAGAAGCAGACAGAGAGGGGAGGGTTGAGCGGGGGAGAGCCTACGGGGAGGGGAGGTGACAGGGGGAGGATATTAGAGGCCTGACAAGGGGGGCGGGGTCGGAGGCGCTAAGAGGGGGATGGGGGGGTGGGGTGGGTGGGAAGGAGGGAATGCGGGTAGAGAAGGGAGGACAGAGGAGGGTGGGCCGAGACGCGGGGCAGGTCAGGGATGGGGTTGCTGGGACAGGGGGCAGGGTGTTCGATCCTCTAGCAGTGCATCTGTATTCTGTTCCAGTAACGGTGTGTAGAAGCAATCCACTGGTCTGAGTCGCCACTGTCTTTTCGTGGGCCACCCATTTCTTCCATAGCAGTTTCCCATCTTCCTGCATGTCCACCATCTCTCGTATCACTCACAACCTCGTTCCCCAACTCACAGATGCCATATGCACCCAAGGACCACCATGCGCCCAATCCAGCATACAGCAGCGCAGCTCGGCTATGACTGCCTGCTCCTTCCAGCTCGCTCGTGAGCGCGTGAGCCTGGCCAGCGTTAGCGCAGCAGCCCATGTGCAGCATGCAGCCAGTGCCCGAATGTCCAATGCGTAGGCAGGCCCTTCTCTATATCGAAGTGGCCTGCTTCTGCGTGCGGTGATGCGGTACTGGGCCCTGGCCCAGAAGCTTCCGGTAGGCCCCACGAGGCTGAGCCTCAGTCCGAAGTAAACAGGCCCAGGGCCTGTGGTGGTTACCAGCACCCAACCGCCCTCAGCCTTTGTTCGGTCCACTTTGTGTATCCGGCCCAGGGCCTCCCTTAGTTACATGCAATGAAAGGCAGCCTGGGCCTGGGCGCTTCCAGCCAACTGGCGCTGCGCAACTGCCTGAATTTCCCCAGTTGCGTGGTGACCCCAAAATGGCCTGTAGGCCTCGGTCGCGCCTGCCTTCACTTAGGGCGGCCGACTGTGTGGAAAATAGGCCCTGTAGGGCATATCGAGGCCCTGTGCCTCGCAAAGGGGTATAAAAGTAGACAGTTCCACACTGCCTGAATGTTGGAGAGAGACCAGTCTGCCGCAACAAGCACTTGAGCTAACCGGGTCCATGGAGTATCAATTGAGTCGGTGAGGAGCCTGATACTAGGCCATTTGGCAAGCAGCGCTCTATTCAGGGCTTTTGATCCCTAGTGCGCCCTTGTTTTTTTTCTCCCTGCAATCTTCCACCATCCCAGCTTAGACATACATGAGGGGATATCAGGTTCCCCTTGCCCAGGGGCTGGCTTTTGTTGCTGCGCGTTGACGTATGGATTGTGTTTGTGGTGATGAATCTGATGACATCAGACCGTATGTTGACGACTTATGGATTGTTTTTTGTGGTGATGAATCTGATGATATCGGCGGGCCGTCCACGTGCACGCGTGCAGGTACCGCTCTTTGCAAGTATGGATGCGGTTGTGCAGGAGGAAATATGTGACCGGTTGAAATCACAAATATATGTGAAGGGATCGAAAGTCGTAAAGGAAGGGGAGCCCATCAAATTCATCTTATTCATCCTTAGGGGTGCGATTGACCAATTGGCCACCTATCAGCCAAATGGTGTGAGCTTGAACGAGGGCACCGTCTGTCTGGGAACCCTACAACAAGGAGATGTTTTTGGGAGTGAGCTGTTGCTGGCTTTGTGTCCAATGGCCTGGTACAGGAAAGAGTCCACACTGAGCTGTAGTATGCCGGACCCTGTGGGTGCTAACGAGCACAGAGTTGGCATCGGCGTCGGCAACTTTCTGGTGGATGTTGATGGCGGCCCTTCATCAGGAACACACATGCAAAGGAATGGTGGCGAATGCTACGACATGTCCCCTTTCTCAGTGCCACCACATACATGGATGAGTTCAATGCAGGGTTCAAATTGGATGGATGGAAGTTTTCCGCTTTATCGCCGTCGTCATTATCCGATGGTCAAGTCAGCAACCACTTTGGTGTGTCGGGAAGTGGTCGAGGGGTTCGTGCTGTCACTGAAGGACATTCAGTATGTCGTCGACGTTTTTCGGAAAATCAAAGGCATTGACAGGATGACCCGGCAGAGCACCATGTGGCGACGGAGATCTACCTCCTGGTCCAATTGGGCGGCTTCAACCATCCAACGGGCATGGCGGCTCAGATCAGAAAGGAGGACGAGGAGGAGGAGTGCACAATTATCATCATTACTACATTCGGATCATGGTCGTTTTCCTGACGAGCAGCAACGACCTGCTACCGGGGAGCCAAGGGCTGTGTTTTCTCCAGGCCCCCAGCTTGTGCAGATGACATCATCACCTTCCTCCTACATGCCTTTCCAGTTTATGTGAAAGGGGGGGTGGGAGGGGAGGGAAAAAAGGGGAAACGAAATTGCAAAAAACTTACGCATAGCTATGGTTTACCCTCCGCAGTTCAGAATCTTTTCTTTTTCTTTCTTTTCTTTTTTTCAAAATTCAGAATTTAATATTTATTTTTCTCCGGGTTCCCAGCTTATGCAGATGACGTCATCATCGCCTTCCTCCTGCACTGCTTTCCAGTTTATGCAAAGACCAAAAGAAAAAAAACAATTTACGAAAAAGATGCAAATGCCAAATAGTCATCATCACCCTCCATAGTTCAGAATTTCTTCTTCTTCTTCTTCTTCTTCTTCTTCTTCTTCTTCTTCTTCTTCTTCTTCTTCTTCTTCTTCTTCTTCTTCGTCTTCTTCTTCTTCTTCTTCTTTCTATCTTTCTTTCCTTCTAAGAACCTGCAAAATTGCGGACTGAGAAAATCTGCTGTTTTCTGAGTTTGCCGCTTGGCTGAGTGACTTGCTGAGATTCCCGTATTTTGCTGAGATTTTTTATTTATTTTTTCCCCCTGCTGAGATTTCTAAGTAAGTGTGTGAGCATATTGTTGGGTTTCCGCGTGTTTGTCTGTTTGCATGATTGCTTGGGTGAGTGTGTGACCCGCCAGGGTACTTGTACGCTGGAAAGGCTCTCATGCCTGGTACTTACCTGTGGCCGTGCCTTTGTGGGTTGCAACGGGGTGTAACGTTAGGTTACGCCCACATAGATGGAAAACACTCCCCTGTATGATGGGAAATACTTGTAGTGGGCAGGTAGGCAGAAGAAGACAAAAAGTTATTACCTTTAAAGGCCGAAGGGATTTTAGAAGTCCGGTAGGCTTAGGTCTAGGGGTACCTGGTCCAGTAGTCTGAGTCTAGGGCCTGCGGTGAATGATATCAGACCTGCAATGATGTTTCCCTCCGAAAGGAGGAAGGTACCAGTAGCTTTGAGGCCGAGTAGCCTGGAAAATCACTGCCCAAGGAGGCATCTGCCTGGTATATCTTCAGGAGGAGCGCAGTGCTCCTCATTTTGTCGTGTGCAAGTTGGCATCATGCTGCTGGAGCGAACACTTGGTGTGTCCAGTGCTGGGGAGGAAGACGGCGGCCTGGCCCCTCCACTACAGCTATGGTGGAGCGGACCAGGGAGGAAGGCCCCAGGGTGTACGAGGAGGAGGAGAAAGGTGGTAAGCAAAGAGGAGACTGACGGGGGTGCGTACCTGGCTATGGTGGACGGCATCTTCATCTTCTTGGTTGGCGCTGCACCTGGAAGGCCCCATAAAGGGTTAGGCTTCGTTGTGGAAGACTAGATAGGCATGGCGGCGATAGTAAAGAGGACTCATCAGCTTTTTCTGGTTCATTCTTTCATTGTTATTATTATTATTTATTGTATTGAAGAGGTTGGGGGAGATAAGGAGGTTGAAGGTAATGGCGAGTTGGAGGGGAATTTGACATTGGTCTTTGCTACTTCATCTTTTTCTTCTTCCATTCTTATTTCTTCTCTCTCCTTTGTCTGTTTCTCTTTTCCAAGTTCTTTCAGTTGCAATTGAATGGCATTGTCGTTCTTGTGTTATTGCACTTCAAGATAACAAGGGTCGTAGCTTCTTCATTTTCTTATTATTATTATTATTATTATTATTATTATTATTATTATTATTATTATTATTATTGAAACGGTATTCACCAATTCGTGGTAGCTGAGGTAGATCCCAGGGCTCGATCCCTAGTTTCCCAACTTACCTGTGTACAATACCAGCGTCAACT